TTAACCTTTGCTTTACGTCCTTGCTTTAAAAATGATACAACTTAAAAGATTAAATTTCCTATAGAAGGGGAAAACTATTTTTTAGAATCGAGAGAGAGAGAGAGAGAGAGAGAGAGAGAAACAGAGACAGAAAAAATTGACTAATAAAAAAGTATGCAAAAGGAATATAAGTACATTTTAGTTAGTATAACCAAAAATGTTTAATATGATCATTTTTGTCATTTTTGTTTTACAACGTCTAAAAAAACCACTTTTTGTTTTAATTATAACGATTTCTTATTAAGTTAACTTAGTTTGTATTTTGTAAGTGAAATATGGATTCCCCCAAAGTGGGTTACCATCCATATATGGGATGACAGTCAGGACTGAATCCGAGACTCGCCGACTACAAGTCGATTGCATTCATATACAATATATGTCATGCATCACTCCTGAAGTTAAGTTAGTTCATAATTAAGTAGAGAATTAAGTTCATAATTAAGTAGAAAAGCGCCAAATATGATCGAAGTTGCATCTTGATGAGTAATAATAAAATTTCTGTAAATTTTAAATACATTTCTTTAAATACAATTTTTATAGAAAAATATTATTAGACACCAAGATCCAGCCTCATTTTTTTGGTCTTCATTTAATTGTTTACTATACAGCGATCTAATTTAACTTAATAAGTTAGTCCATTTTTAATGATTGATAGGGTAAAGTTTACTTAACTCATTCGTGATAATAATTTGATAATAACGTTTTTTTAATTGTGCCACTTTTAAAGAAAGGATACGATGTGAAAATTATCAGTTACCCCACTAAGCATCTTATGAAACAACACGCTAATTAATTGCAGGAACGATCTCGCGTGTTGACTTATTTCTCAGTTTTGTGTACAGTGTATGGAAAGAAAACGATTTTATTGAAAAATCTAAAATTTTACTGATGTGTCTAGGCAGATCTAAAAGTAAATTTTGTTGGATTATCAAAAAAATTATGTTGAAAGCGCAAAATGATTGCCAGAATATTAAAACTTTTTTATATTCCAACAGAATTTTGATGGTCCAACAAAATTTATTTCCAGATCTATCTTGTACAAAATTCTCAATTTTTCAATAAAATCGTTTCTTCCGTGAATAGCTACAGCAATCAACTCGATATCAAACCGATACGCTGATACGCGTGAAATCGATGGAGCAAATAATGAAATACTGTAGTATTTGTAATATTTGATTACAATCACTGCCAATAGAGATTATTTACCTCCCGAAAAGAATGATTTTGTTGAAAGATCTAAAAATTTTGCTAAAAACAGATCTGAAAATAATTTTTTGTTGAATTATTAAAATAATTTATTGGAATATTGAAACTGATAAGCATTGCTATAAAACGTTTTAATATTTTAGCAATCACTTTGATTTTCGCACAAAATTATTTTGATTATTGAACAAAAATTATTTTCAGATCTGGATTCAGCAAAATTGTTCTTTTCGTGCTCGAATTATAATCGCTCGAAAAGTGATTCGAACAATCGTGATTCTTCTTTGAAAAAGCATGGCGACACCGTCCGACAGGACGATTGTCGCGAAGAAAAGGAGTGAATATTGCATTCGGTTTAAGTCGTGCGAGCGATTAAGCAATTATCGTTTCGCGCGGAAAGTTACGTATAAAGCGCGCACGTGTGGAGCGTAACTCTAAAACTCCGTTTTAAAGTTCACTTCGCACGTGCGAAAACTGCACCGCGCGCGTGAAATCCCGGTTTCTTTTTAATTACTGTTCCATCTCGCGTAAGTACGAGCGAGTGCCAGTGAGAATGATGGAAGGGAGGGTGAAGTGCGCGGCGCATCAAGAGCGGCGCGACTAAAAAGAGCTGCGAATGATCGATAGGCGGAGCGGGTTACAGGGCAGCGCGGCGCGATCGATTTCCGCCGGCGCGGGCGTCACAATCGAAGGCACGTCTGTAAATGCGCGTGGAGGCAACACTTTCGGCCTTTCGGCGGGAGATGACATATCTTTCAGAATCCCTCTGCTCCCCGCTCCTCGCGCACCTCTTCTCTTCCTCCCCCCCCTCCGCTTCTCGCCTCTCCGACACTCTCGACGATGTCAATTTAGATATCGCGCAACGTCGAGACGTTGATATATACGGTGGCGCGAGTCATTAAGCGGCCGATGCCGGGCCGATCGATAAATTGTAATCAGTGTAATTATACGGTCGCTCGTAAACCTGCCTTTACGTTTACGCCTGTCCGCGTGCGGCGTGTACGCCCGTGCGTATATAGCCGCACGACGCGTGTGTCCCGATTTCCCACGGAACGCGAAGAATCCTGTTTTCGGGCCGAGCTATCGGGCGATACGCACACGCGCGTATTGGGGGGGCCCGAAGGAGGTCGAAAAGCGAAGGCGCGGCCAAGCAAGAATAAAGAGAGAGAGAGAGAGAGAGAGAGAGAGAGAGAGAGAGAGAGAGAGAGAGAGAAAAAAAAGAGAGACTCGCTTATTTTCCTTCGACGATGCTCGCGGTTCTTTCCTCGCGCAAATTTGGTGCAAACGCTCTTTTAAGTGGGAAGGTACGGGGAGGGGGGGGCGTTCGGTTTACTCTCGTGCGGCCGCTGCGATTACAGGCGCAATTTGCGAGATTAATAAATAATGCGTTAAACCCGCCGGGCTGCATGCTCGATCGGAGAGGATCGGAGCGCGTAATAAAGCGCGCGCTGGCGCGCGCGATCCATTTCCACGATACACGAAACCGAAACCCGACGGGTGAACCGCGCCCTCGGACGCCCTCCCCCGGTACATCCTTAACTGTAAAGTTCGATTTTATAATTTGTTATATATTATGCGATCCGGTGTGGAGCGGGTGCCGTAAATCCCGTGTGCTGTTGACCCGACGCTCGCTGGACCGAGACCGGCAGCGGCGGCGGCGGCGGCGGCGAGGACCTGCGCGCGGCCAGATATCTGCCTCTCGGAACGGTCAACCGGAAGTAATTAAGGTTTCGACAGAGAATCTCCTTGTGGCGGGATAAACGCCGCGGCCAAAAAGAGCGACGACGAGAGGGAGCACCTCGTCGGGAAATTACGTTACATACATCCCGCTTTCTCTTCTCCTCTACTCCTATCTCTCTCTCTCCTCTCGTCGCTTCTCTAGCCGCGCGCGCGCGGAGGCCTTAAATATCATCTCAATGCGGGCCTACGTGTAGGTACTTATATCCCATGTGCGGCTCATGCAGAATACCCCGTTAACGATTTAATATACCGCCGCGCGCGCTTCGCATCCCCCTTCGCGTATTATAACACACCGCGACGAAAGACCGGTGTGCTGCATATACTCGCATACCCGTCGCGGTGATGTACAGCAGCCTTCGCTCCCCTCGGTAAAAAAATAAAAAAAAAAAAAAAAAAACCTGCGACACACACCGCGCCGCGCGGCTCGGCAACATCCGCGCGCCGCGGCTTTCGACATTTCCGCCGTGACCCAGGCGCCTCCGCGACTAACACGACTTTACCTTTACGACGCGCTTATAGACCGCGCGCGAAGGGCCTCGCCGCGATCGCGGAGAAAGCGGCGGCGCGAGAAGCCGCGACGGAATGGATTTTGCGCGCGCGCGCGTCCGCGTGCGATAAATAATCTCCCCGCCCTCTCGAGATTGTTTAATAATCGTCGAGGAATGCGCGTTATATAGCTCCTCGGCCACGCCGCCGATGTGATGCATTTCACAAGCCCTGACGTCGCCGATCAGCTCGCCGCGCCGCGCCGCGCGCGATCGCGCCCAGGCCCGATCTTATCCGACGTATCGCGCATTAAACGTTTCCGCGAGCGCGCGCTCTCCCGCGTTCAACTATACACTATTTAATGGACTTCCTATGTTCAATGGATCGCAATATCCTGAGATATTCGAGCGATCGTTTCGTCAGTTAAAGGGAGCCGAGGGAGAGAGAGAGAGAGAGAGAGAGAGAGAGAGAGGGGCGCGCATTCGAGAGAACAGTCTGGTTTTATTCCGTATTATGGCTGAACCATGCGTGTACTACGACTCACTTCTTCCACTCAGGCGGGTATATTTATTTTTTGCCGTTGACTCTCCTTGACTTCCTCCCTGCGCCGCGCGGCCGCGTTACACATGCTTATAAGCGTTATATTATTATTATTATTATTATTATTATTACAATTATGTCATTACAATAATAGGCGCTCTCTTTAATGCGGTCGCGAGGTATGTGGTGTGGTGGCGCGCGCGCGAGGTTACCGCGATGGCGCATAACAAAACGAAGCACCTAACAGTAAATGTTATTACACTTTTTTCTTCCCCCCCCTCCCTTTTCTCTCTCTTTTTTCCTCTTCTTTAATCAGAGTACCGTTGATGGTACTCACTTCGGTTAAACTTCGCTTTTCTAACAGTATCTCGGGCGTACTCGGTAGAGCACGGCCTGTTAAATGAGTGGGAGGTGGGGAGGGGGAGGGGGGGGGATTTCTCGCGCGCGCACACAATTTAGTGAAACGATCTCGCATACCCGCGGTGGTGATACCTACCCACCTATATTCCATTCGATTCGCTTATGGCGACGCGCGCGATACCATTAAGATACAAATTATCCTCGATCGCGATTGCGATCGACATTATTACGATTCGCGCATACGAATGTGCGCGTGCGCGATATAATCGTTATCATGTGCATATGTACACGGAAAGAACAATTTTGCTGTATCCAGCTCTGAAAATAATTTTTATTCAATAATCAAAATAATTTTGTGCGAAAGTCAAAGCGATTGCTAGAATATCAAAACGTTTTATAGCAATACGTATCAGTTTTAACATTCCAACAAATTATTTTGATGATTCAACAAAAAATTATTGTTAGATGTTTTTAGCAAAATTTTTAGATCTTTCAACAAAATCATTCTTTCGTATTTAGCAAAATTTTTAAAATAATTTTTTGTTGAATCATCAAAATAATTATATAATTATATAATAAAATATATTATCCTCGTTAACACGGAACATTTTTTCTTCTCTGTCTTCACGCAGATTACGTGTCCGGTGCGTGTCCCAGGATATGCCCGCCAAGCGGCGAGCCCGTGTGCGGCAGCGACGGTGTCATATACGCGTCGCAGTGCGAAATGCGGAAGAAGATGTGCGGCAAGGGTAAGAGGAGAGCTTTTAATTATAATAGTTATTATATATAGCAGCACACGCGCGGCGCGCTCCGGTTCGCTCGTCGCGGAGATTACAGTTTTTTCCTTCCCTCTCTCTCCCTTCCCCTCCTTCCGAGACGCTGGACGTATATATATCACGGGCATAACTCCGTCTATATGATTTCGTTATCCCGTTTTGTATATTAACCGACCGTAGAAGAATGAGTGCGCGCGCGCGCGCGCGCGTAAGGCCCATTAGTAGCGGTTATATATCGAGAAATATAACCGCGGACGGGCCCGCGCTTCAATTACAATCGCGGAAATAATACGACCTTCATTCGCCCCGGTACGTCTTCGAATGCGATATTATATATACCCGTGCCTCTCCACCGGCGCGGCGCGGACGGTCACGATAAAAGAGATATACCTATTCGTATTCTCTTTCCGCGCCCGGGATATAGCGGCCTACGGTAACGAGGATCCGTTTCATTCGTATAATAGATGACCGCGATAAATTATATGCGCGCGAGGCCGCAAAACGAATCGCGATTTCCTAGAGCGTCGAAACGAACTATTTACGCGCCGGGGTTGATCGGGGTGATTTGTATACGCGCGGTTCGTATAGGTACATATACGCGCGAGCGAGCCGGCGAGGGACGAAGAAGACGAGGTCGCGCGTATGTATATGTATACACGTGTGTACGTACAGTCAGTGGCACAAGAGCGTGTTATCTGTCCCTCTTGAGAAAGAAAAGATTTTTGAAAAATAATTATATGATTTTGAATTATATCATATACGCTTCGATGCATTTATATTTAATACGTCATCCAGTTCCCTCCGTTGTCGATTAAGGCTTGGAAGTGTCGAGGCATTTCTACAAGGTTTTTTTTTTAATGAAAATCTCGGAAACTCCAGATCATGACTTCCAAATCGAACGTAATTTGATACGATAATTTCTTCGGGAGTAAAGACAGGCTTTTTCTGCATCTATAGATTTTTATAGCAATTAATACATTTTCAATCGCGTTAACATGAAGAGATTGTAAAAATCAGTGTTTTGTGTAAAAATGCCATTTTATGTACCCTGTATTTATTGTGTGTTTTATCCTGCAGTTGCAACACAATAATTAAACCGAAATGAAATCTAACTTTCAAAGCATTTTAGCCTAATGTATTGCAAATATTAACACACAAAAATTTTACTCATACGACATCTATTAACAGAATTATGAATAACACGCTTTTGTGCCACTGACTGTACATACATATGTTGCGTTACGCGCGGAGAGATCTCTCGTTTACTCGCCGACTCGACTCGACCGCGCGAAATCTATCTCACGTATCTCATTTATTTTTCTCGCTCGTCGGTAACTCGCTCATTTAGGCGTTACCGTGGCCACGGAGAAGACGGCTTGCCTGAGGTCATCCGGTAGCAAGTGCGAGCACCGCTGCCCGGGCGATCAGGATCCGGTATGCGGCACCGATGGGCGTACCTACCTGAACAAGTGCATGCTCAGGGTGGAGATCTGCCGGGTCGGGATCGAGCTGTCTCATCTCGGGCCGTGCAACAATATTTCGGCCCACAGGGAGAACTGTCCGGTCTCGTGCGATTACGCGCCGCTCGACGGACCGGTTTGCGGAAGCGACGGAAACGTCTACAAGTCCACGTGTCAGATGAAGCTGCTCACTTGCGGGTATGTCTGTACAGGTCTCGGCCCCTCGGTAATTTACGGCTCGCGCACGGCTCGAGCCGTGCGAGATGCACGCGAATTTTCGAAGCTACGAAAACCCGTGTTCGAAGCTCGTAATGAGAGATTTATATTGGAGAATGATTGCGCATTGAAGATTAGAATTTGAATTTTAAACAAATAATTTTAATTTTAATCCATTTCATCGGTTTCATTTTGATTAAATTCGAATTTCCAATTTGCAATCTTCAATTTTTAATGCGTAGTTTGATACAAATGTTTTGACTACAATATTAGCTAAAATTGAAACTTAAAACGACAAAAAAAAACAAAAAAATGACAAAAAATTTTGATTTGATTTTGAATATAGAACTGCAAAAGATGAAGCAATAAATAACTTGATTTATGATTGTTTATGCGATATAACCATATCTTTCTGCAGTTTTAGATAAATAATTTTTGAACGAGTAAATGGCGCCAAATAAATTTTTGCACGAATATTTATTAGACTTTTATTAGTATATGTAAAAAATTTGATTTTTAATTCGTAATGATGCTTCCCATTAAATTTGCAAATAAGTACTATATGTATAAAATATATATACTATAAGTCTATATAAGTACTATAAAATAAAGGTACTATAAATATAAGTACTATATAAATATATGCGATTCTACATAAAAATCAATACAAAAGAAAAATCAAATAACTTTCAAACCAATAAGAGAATTGTTTTTTTTACATGGATCGCCGCGTTAATAGAAAAATAACACAAGTAAAAATTAGCATTTTTTAGATAATGAAAGGAAATTTATTTGAAAATTTTAGAGATTTCTATCAATGAGAGGAAGTACTTAGACGTAATAATAAAACAATTTATGAAATTTTTATATTTTTAATAATGTTTTGAGATGTGACACATATATGTACATCCTTAATCTTCGTCTCGCGTTTGCCCGACGAGAATTTCTTTTTCATACGATAAAATTAGATCCGTTATAATATTTTATTCGCGATTACGTTTATGTCTACATCTCACCTATTATTTCTCCCATTTTCCGTATGAAAAAAAGAATTACTGACTTTCATAAATACTGCAATTCACTGTAGACGCCGTTGCAGTCGTCCCTCCTCGTAAAACGCAAAACGCGTATTATTCTGTGGGAAGGGGAGTTTATTTTCCCTAAGTCTAAGCATAAAATACTAAGCCTGGCCGCAAAAAACGATTTTGACTTTTTCCGGTTTCGCAGCCAAGGCGTCGTGCGTACGAATAAGAAGCACTGCCAGACCACAAGACATTGTCGTGAATCGTGCTGGCGTGGTGCCAAGCCTGCCTGCGGTAGCGACGGCATTTTGTACTCGAACACCTGCAAAATGCGAGCGAAGAATTGCGGGTGAGTCGGCAAAGATCCACGACGAATTTCAACGTATACGACCGGGAGGGACCGCTCGAGATTTTGCAACAAAACTCTCGTGGGCCCTCGTAACCCGCCTGTCCCCTCCCCGCTTATTCCTCTCAGCTTCTTTCCTCTCAGCGTTGCTCCCTGCGCGCACTTAATTATTCGTGCCACTGCAAATCCAAGTGTGTAAATCTGTAGTCACTTTTTACGCATTTATATGGGTGTTATATTTTTACACATTTTATCTTTTTTTTTTCACACAGTTAAATGCATATTTTTTTACACGCTTACACATATTATTGTAAAATTAACCCGTAAAAGACACCTCAGTGCGAATTTGCCCATAAAATTTTCAATTGGTGGGCATTTAAAAACAGATGAATTTGGCGGTTTTCCCCCACTACGTGAATTATGTTTGTACTCTATTGCTTGAAGTAAAAAGAGGATCATTTGCGAGGGTCTTTTAGTCATTGCTTGAGGCACATGAAATGTTCGTTTGGATGCGAAAAAACTCAAACTTTTTACTATCAAAAAACATTTATTTATATTTTATTCAATCAAAACTATTTCTTACTTGAAATACAACATTTCATTAACAAAATCCAGTAAGGTTTGTGTCATTTTATTAAAAACTAAAAAAATGACAGTTATTTATTGAAAAAGCTTTTTTTCTAGTTTTTCCAAAAATGGTTTTGTTTAATACGCAGTTTTGAAAACAATTACATTTTCTTTTTTGAAAATTTAATGTTACCAATCGATTCGTCAGAAAATTTACATTGGAAAACGCACGTTTTGCTTTAATTTTGCTTTTTATTTTCAGAAGATATAAAACTTTAAAAACACTTGGTGCGAATTCGCACTTGTCAGGTGTTCTTTACGGATGTTCAAAAGAGACGTATATGTATAAGCCTTTATGGATAAGCGCGTAAAAAATATGCATTTAACTGTGTAAAACACAGATCAAATGTGTAAAAATATAGCACGCGTATAAATATGTAAAAAGTGACTACAGTACACACACTTGGATTTGCAGTGTGAATCGCTCCCCCGTTACACCCCTTGCTCCCACTCTTCGTTATAACTCCTTGCCTAACTTGAAACACATTCGAGCCATCTCATTCCTCGTCTCTTTCCACCGGGATCTTTTTGTCTAAATATTAGATTTGTTATAGCAACGCGAAACAGATCTCTCTCTCTCTCTCTCTCTCTCTCTCTCTCTCTCTCTCTCTCTTTCTCTTTCTCTCTTTCTCTCTCTTTCTCCCTTTACGCGATCCAATATTTCTCGATATCTGAATTTTCCGTCGGACTGCCGACTGATGAATTTTGTAATCCTGTCGAACTGCGCTCCAGCATGCAAAACCTCGTCGCGGTTTTATCCGACGCGACGATTTCATTAAGCCCCGACGATACTTATCGGACTGCGCCTTTTAGCAAGCACGTCTTCGAAGTGCCGATGTCGTTCTGCGTATCTCGGGAACGGACGTCCGGAAGCAACGCGTGTCCGTTGGACTGCAAAAACGAGCCGGAAGTATCGGTGTGCGGATCGGACGGGAATGTATACAGGAACGAGTGCGAGATGCAAATGCTAAATTGCGGGTGCGTATCTATCTCTTATCAACTCTATACGTGAATTATAAATATGTATATATTATAAATATATGTGATATATATTTATAATAATTATAAATACATATGTGAATTATAAAATCTCGTTAAATTCACGCGGTGCAGGAAAGCAAGTAATCATATACAGCTGCAGTCATGCAACTTATCAGCAACGCTCTTTTTTTTTTTTTCGAAAAAAAGACTTCAACTCGCTTACTTTCTTGTTACGAATAACCGACCGTCAAACGCGAGTGAGTCTTTAAGCGAAGTGTTAATCAACAGGCATGCAAGAAGAAAGATAACGGTAGTGGACTTTGAGAAGTGTCGATCCCGGCTAACGAAATGCTTGAAGCAGCAGCAGAGGTGCGGAAGCGAGGTGGATCCGGTTTGCGGCAGTGACGCGAACACCTATCCAAATCAGTGCCATTTGAACGTAGCGGTTTGCTTGTAAGTCTTGTATATTTACGTCAGTAAGGATATTGATAAATTCTGCACCCTGCTGCATTTAAGTATCGAGAGACGTAAAAATGACAGATATTCTATCGCGAACTCTATATAGCGAACTGCGTGCGTTGAGTCATCAGCGACAAATTAATCTCTCCCCGACTGCTTGATGCACATTTCAGAAAGGGCATCCAACCGGCTCATGTCGGCGAGTGCACGACCTTGAAGGAGATCGAACACTGCCCCGAAAGCTGCGCCGAAGTACCCGAGGAACCAGTTTGTGGAAGCGATGGCAACGTTTATCGGTGATTAAAGAGCGTTATTCGGATTCCAGAAACCGTTCGCCGCGTCGCGTCGGAGAGATTTTAAGGGCGCGTGCACCTCAAACGGATCGTCACTCGGCCGGGGGTGGAGGGGGGGGGAGAGGGCAGACGCTTCGGGCCGTTTTCAGAACCTCTTTTGTCCTCCGATACCCGGCGATCCGGTCGTGAATCGAGCGCGAGACAAATTGATGTTTATCAATTAAAAATTCCGAGATTTTTTGCCGGTTTATAGTCGAGCGTCGAGCGAGCGAGAAGTCCGCGATAAAATTACTTATTTCCGATTATACTGATGGGGCGCGATGTGATATAAAACACAGATTAAAATGAAAATATTCGAGTTGCAGCATTTTTTTTAATATTTTTATTTTTTACTTTTTTAAAGAACGTGTTAAGAGAACGAGTTGAGCTGAACGCGCGGTAACACAGCTGAAACGGTTAAATAGCGGGCCGCGGATCGTTTCCTCCTCTCCTCCAGAAACCGGTGTTTGCGGATGCGTCATGTGGTGCAACTTTCGTATGCATTTTTAGGTCCCTCTGCCATCTGCAACATGAGACCTGCGGCCAGAGGGTGGTCCAAGTTCCGGCACAGCACTGCCGCACCACCGCGCTCTGCAACCAGATTTGCAGCGGGGAACGTCAGTTTGTTTGCGGCTCCGATAACAAGCTCTATCGCAACGAGTGCGAGATGAAGAGGGACAATTGCGGGTAAGCCACGAAACGTTATGTTTGCTTTGCGTTTCACCGTAGCGCGGCACAGTCCTTTGTTCGAGGAGTAGGTACCCGCGCGCGGATTAGTGGGCACATCTAATGAATTAATCCCGGACCGATTCTCAAAGGAGTCTCGAGAAGTGCATAATTGCATGGGAGATCGAGCTAACTTCTACAAAGCTTTCTCTTCTCTTTGCAGCGACTTTTATCAAACATAGCAAATTAATTAAATCGTCGCTAATTGTGACGATAGGAATTGTGACAACAAGCAACAAGCAAAAATATTTTCTTCTCTTACAGACATTAAAAATTGGAAGGCAGTGATTAATTTATTATTTTAAAATACTGAAATAATTAAAAACTTTTAATTAATTGTTCTATTAATTAATAATTAATTGATTAATCTCTTATTTTAAAGCACTAAAATAATTAAAAACACTGAATAACTGCTTTTAATATTCAAAATAAGTAATTTTTAATATTAAGCAGTCCTTTGTTCGAGAAGTACTCGTGCGCAGATTAGTCGGCACATCTAATGAATTAATCCTGAACCGATTCTCAAAGGAGTCTCGAGAAGTGCATAATTGCATGGGAGATCGAGTTAACTCCTAACAAAGGTTTCTCTTTTCTTTGCAGTGACTTTTATCAAATATAGCAAATTAATTAAATCGTCGCTAATTGTGACGATAGAAATTATGACAACAAGCAACAAGCAAAAATATGTTCTTCTCTTACAGACATTTAAAATTGGAAGGTAGTGATTAATCTATTATTTTAAAATACTGAAATAATTAAAAACTTTTAATTAATTATTCTATTAATTATAATTATTGATTCATCTCTTATTTTAAAGCACTAAAATAATAAAAACACTGAATAACAATGAACTGAATAACAATGAACTGAATAACATTGATGTTCAAAATAAGTAATTTTTAATATTAAATTAGTCAATATTAAATTGGATTTTTTGTACGGGTTGACAGAGGCATTTAAAACTGTTATTTTATCTTATAATTAGATTCCACTAGAATTTTCCGCTAATTGCGGATGAGTTGTAAGATAAAATAAACGTTTTAAATGAATTTTCTTTTGAAAGAGAATTTATTTTCTCTTATTTTTCGATCGAGTTTTCTACTATCAAGGAAAGTAATTGAATTAAAGTTGAGTAAATAAAATTAAACTCAAAGAGAGAATAATTTAGCAGTTATTTTAATTTCAAATATATAATTTCCACTTTGATTTAGTAGAGGAAAAACTGCCTCGGAATAATTTCATTATTCTTGTTGTAAGTAAGAAGGTTAATTATCCAAATTCAATTATTCCATTTATTCAGAAGTGAGCCTATAGAGAGCGGCGCGCGTTTCGTGCCGCGCATGTAATTTCGTTGACCGCGATCGTGATGCCTCTTCCCGAGATATAATACTTTCCATGGACTTTCATTACGCCCGATCGCGCCATTGAAACACATCCGAGATAGAGAAGATCACCTCAGGAAACTAGTCCTCTCTCTCTCTCTCTCTCTCTCTCTCTCTCTCTCTCTCTCTCTCCTCGAGAAACGGTTAATCCGTAGCCGGTATATCGCGTGCGCGTCCGCGATGAAAGTCCGTGAGTGATTCAGCCGGAAGAGGCTGTGTCGTTCCATTACATCTTCTTTATGAAAATAATAAACCCACACCGTCTCTCTATATCGCACCCGCATACCAGCTAGGATGTTTTTGAATCCTCCTAGCCGACGTTCAAATACGCGAAAGGAAAGTATCCTACTTCGGGAAGGTGAATCGAACGCGATCGCGCGCGCGCGATCTTGAAAGTAGAGATTGTCAGTGCCATCGCGCGGCCTATTTTCCTCCAAAAGAGTCATTTTCTATTTTCGACCGCTTTCTAATGCGCCCACCGCAAATGCATATTTACCCCGATATGTTCACGTCGAATAAACCCTAATACCGGAAAAAATAATAAATGTGTAAGGCTGTTGTGCTACATACATAAGTATCAATCGAAATGTCTGCCCGAATTCCCTGAACGATGTAATTGAAGGATTTTCCACGATAAAGCCAATCAGTTTGTCCTTAAATAACAAAGTTTAAAAAAATAGACTTTTTAAAAATATATACTATCAATACTTTCGTGATTTATTAACAAATGTGAAAAAAGTTACATAGTTTATCATTAATTTAAACTTTAATAACTTTAATATAAAATTTAAATTTTATGTGACTACTGACTATGTATATTTATATTTATTTATTAACTGAAGAAGACTCTGTGTAGATCGGAACGTTTTATTGTGTTTTTTGACATTAAATTATTATTTATTAATATTATTTATTTTGTGATTCTAATATGTCACTTTTGTCCTGTCCGTTCCTTGGCCGAGTGAACTTTTTCACATTTGTTAAAAATAGACTTATTTGGTATTCTCGCGAGAGAAACCCTTCAATTACTTTCTAACGAAGTAAAATAAATCAAATTCTTCACTTTAACGACATTATATACGATATTTCAAACGGAGAGAAAAAAAAGGATGTACACCTGTGTGATTCCAGGAAACACGTGTACGTGGTACCTATGAAGAGGTGTGTCCAGGGTTTCCTGTTTCGCGGCTGCCAGAAGATCTGTCCGCCTTATTACGACCCGGTATGCGGCACCGACGGCATGACGTACAGCAACGAGTGCTTCCTGGAGATTGAAAACTGCCGCAGCAGGAGTCTCGTCACGAAAAAGTATCACGGGGTGTGCGGGCAGCCGACGGAGGAGCCGAAGAATTATCTCTATTAAAAGCTCGACCGACCGCGAGCGCTTTCGGCACGGTGATACGAGAGGAAAGAGAGAGACACGACAAAACGAAAAAAAAAAAAAAAACGAAGAGGGAAATTCGATCAAACGCGAGACTATAACTTTTCTGGCTCGTATCTCCCGGAGATTTTGAGAAGCGACAATTGTCCGTACATCGATTCGTCATGCGTCACGAGTATCCCATAGTATTTATATATAATTTCGCTCGGTTCAATATTAAGGCTCAATCTAACCGGCTGCAAAAATTCCGACGAACTCCGATCGATCGAGTATACGCGGGCCGCAATACGAGCGTTATAACTGTTCGCGACTCTTTGACGGACGAGCGCGCGCGCGGCGGCGTGACAGGAGAGAAATTCGTTCACGTGTGGATTTCGGATACTCGATCGCCTCCCTCGATCCTCCCCCTCCCCCTCCCCGCCTTCCCACCCCACCCCCCCCTCCGATGGTCCGAAACGCGCTGAATTTCCACGGGGGGACAAAACGCGCTCGAGGGAAAACGAGCATCTTGCCAGTCGCAGTCCGGATTGTTATCGTCACTGCTATTTCCTATACGATAATAGTACCGCGATTGCCGATCCCTTCTCGGACAGCCGCGCGTCCGCAATACTTTAAAGCCCGCGTCACGCCCTACGCATTGGAGAACGAGGACTGCGAGTCGGATATTGGAATTCGACCAGTCGAAACGAAATGGATTAAAATTATCTCGCTGGTCGAATTTTGATCCTCAATTCGCAATTTTCAGTCTTCAATGCGTAGATCGATACGGAATTAGGCTCGTGTCACGCATTGGAGATTGAGGATTGCAAACTGGAGATTAGAATTCGACCGATCAAAACGATATGGATTAAAATTAATGAATAAAATTGAAATGATCCGATCGGTCGAATTCTAATCTTCAATTCGCAGTCTTCGATCTCTAACGCGTAGCTCCGATACGGGCTTACATAACCCACGCAGCGAAATTACGATTCGCAAACCGTTATTGTGCACAGCAGGTGACGAACAGCATCGTCCAGATTATTTTAAGGAAACTGTCTTTCTATTCTTCTCTCTCTCTCTCTCTTTTTTTTTTTTTAATCGGGAAAGGGTCGCCAGTCGCGTATCGATATAGTCCTTTCTTCGCACTTGACGATGTAGACTCATTATTATTTATTATAGCATTAATCATTGCATACGACGCGATACCATCTCCCTTTCTTTTTTATTTTTTATTTTTTACAGACAGATACGCCCGTCGTTCTAATTATGGCTATTATGTAATGCGTCGACGCGGCGTCGGAGCGTATTTCTTATTTTAGGGGAACATTGTGCTATTACATCTCCCTCCCGACATGTGTGATGTGTGTTCGTTTTTTATTATTATATCATTGCAATCTTAATTTATTATCGAGTATGCGAGAATCCTTCTTTTGTATCGACACTAACACACTGTATACGCTTCCAATGTCAATAATAAATCATATATGTATATTTTAAGATATAAAAAGCTGCATAAATTATAAGGCGTAACAATTAATCATAATCGATAAAAACGACATATATATGTTATTTATTTATGTCTATACTTCTACAATAAGATCGAGAGATTTTAACTTCAGAGCGCAATTGCGACCCTATGACGGTGTACATGTATCAAGGATTAATACATATACCTATTTAATTTGGCTGACAATGAGTTCAATTTCCGATGCAAATAGCACGCGAAGAACTTTGCGTTAATCGCGTCGCGTTTCACTTCTTGGCAAATGTAAGCATAAAAATTATTGTTCTGCACGCATTTGAATCTATCAAACTCCGATTAATTTGATCGATGATTATTTTATCAAGTAATACTTGTGATATTTTAATCATCAACGCGATACATATATTTTAAAATTAACTTCTATGATATTTTAGTTGACGCAATATGGGAGGACAGAATTATTAACTTTTTTGTTTAACATATAAAAAATGTAGAGGCGGCGAATATTTTAATTAACTTCTACGATGTTCTAATTAATACAATATAGAAGGATAGAATTATTAATTTTTTTGTTTAACATATGTATATACAAAAGAAGATTAGAAATTATCTAGGATATCTAGATGGCAAATTATATGGCCAGGAATTTTGCTGTAAATAATTCCGCATCTCGAATTAATTACCGATTAAGTTAATCGAATTTCTCTACCAATGTAGATTAACTTTAATCTTCGTTTAACTTATTTTGTATCTTCTTCTAGTACTAAGAATTAGAAAAAGATAAAAAATAAACAAAACCGAGATTAAAGTTAATCTACATTGGTAGAAATGGACATAAATCGTGCGAAATATTAAATCTGAGTTTACTTACCAGCTGCTACTTCGACTGCTCGGTCGGCGCCAACTTCGGGTGAGTACCGTCAATGAGTCACTTTACTCGAGAGCAAATTTATTCTCACGGACCCATACATCACGAAAATACGATCGACGAGCGCAAATGAATGTGATGCTGATTGATCGCCTGACGATCTTTATTCGACACTCTCTGCATATATTCAAGCCGTCGATTCGTTTTAGAGAAAGAGAAACGCGAAAGACGCGGAATAATTTCACTCCGACTTCGCACTGACCAACGCAGCACGAAACAATATTAGGTATGACCGACAACTTACTTGATAACACATCGACGTGTTTCGCTGCTTCTGCAGAACATTCGAATCAGGAAAACACGGATGGAGGGACTGTTTCGAAATTATTATGATTTTCGTAACAAAACATTGATTTAACTCAAATTTAAATGATAAATTTATTTATTTAATATTGTATGTTTGTATGTTTCTAAATATATTATAATTTCAAATTTCTTTCGTTAATATAAGATTATGACAACAATCTGAAACGTTTCTATTCGTATATAATTTAAAACTATATAAAAATTTGTAGAATTAATTAAGATTTGTAATGAAAAACCGCGATTTGTGAATATTTAAAATAAAATATTTCAAAATTTAGAAGTTCACGTAACATGAAAAGTTTATTGTAATGTTCATTATAGTTACTTGGAATTTTATTATTTAACAGTAATATAAATCAAAGAAATTTAGGAAGATTAAAAATTAATAATTCGATTAAAATGCAATAACGTCATTCAGAAGAATGAAACGGTTTCGATGATTAACTTTTCAAACATCGTTTATATATGATATGGTATTTTGTTAACAATAAAATTATTAATTTTGTATTATTTTATTATTTTCTTTATCGAGAGAAAAATCAGTTTAGAGATGACAAATTATAGTTACGATATTTGATGCAAGAAGTTCTGTCGATATGGAATTTCGCCAGTTAATCAAGTTAATTACAAAGACAATGGAAGCCGTCTTTTGTCTCGGTAAACTGAAGCGGCACTGCAGAAATGGCATGTGGAACAAATGTACGACTACCTAATCGATTCTTTTTTAGTTTCGTTTTTAATTACACCGAGCTCTTTTCATTAGCGCCTTAGTTAATTTGGTCGGATTATCCCTTAATTGGTTGAAGGGCAGAAGAGTATTAAGATAAAATAATTATATTTGTTTTAATGGGCACGGCTTGGATGACCTTGATTTGATTAGCACGCTCGATGTTATCAAATGCATTTACTTTGTAATTTCATTTTTATAATATATTATATGTCGTTTTCTTTTTTTATGGATCTATTTGCAATGGACGAAGTATTTGATAATATAAATTGAGAAAATTTTTTAAATCTTACAATTAGTGCAATCTTTTTGTTAATTATAACACTTTGATTATCAAGCTCATTTCGACAATGAGTTTAATAAATCATAATATATTATTTTAATACTTTATTGTTTTTTTAAATATTTTAATATAATTTATATTGTTTCTTTGATGTCTTAAACACTTACGACACTGTATAATACGAAAGAATGATCTAAAAAAGTGATTTTTTCGCTCGTTTTTTTTGGGTCCTCGATTTTGGGACTGGATTGTGTGCCAAATGGTACCTTATAATGAGACATTAATTATAGAGAAGTTTCAGCTGAGTGACAATTTATTATTATCAGAGTTGGAAGAGGAGGAGGTCTCTTATTACGTCTCTTTACGCGAAAACTCGATTTTTTTGACATCCAAAATGAGCATCCATTTATGTAAAATTGCGATTAAATGTCTTTATCGGCTGTATCAATCTTTTTAAAATACCGGACCTCGCAGATTTATGATAATTCCACAATGAAATTTGATTTCATTCTTCCTCCTCTTCCAGCTCTGATAACTATTGTCACTCAGCTGAAACTTCGCTATAATTATAATGTCTCATTATAAAGGTATCATTTGGCACACAGTTTAGTCTCAAAATCGAGGATTCAAAAAAAACGAGTGGTTTTGACTTATTGTTAGTTAGGCACTTATTGCCTTGAGATTTATCAAGTCATTTCTTATGTATTTTTGATTGCTAAATATGAATAATATTTTCATATTTAAATATATCTTTTAGTTGTATAGACTGCACGCCAAATATTATTAGGTATCGATCAATTATCTGGCACGATTTTCTTACTTATTTGATTACTTCTGATTTTCTTACTTCTTAATGTTTTATAATCTAATGAAGTTTGGATTATACATTTATTAATATCGAATACGTTTGTAACATTGCAAATAAAGCTGATACAATGTCTGAGAAATAAAAAATGCATCATAAAATAACAGAGTTAAGAAAATGTGTAAAGTTGGAGTTACAAATCAGGTACTCTACAGCGTGAACTTAAACTAGCAAAAACGAAGGTCAATGTACAGAAAAATGCATAGAAAATATTAAGCTCAGTTTTCACTCCGGACAAATAAAAAAAATGTTTTTTAAATCCTTTGCAGAAAAAACGCAGGTCTTCAGAAGACATAACAGCTTTTTATGCAGCATAAATCCGAAAGGCTTATACAATATACTTGGGAGAGGGAAAAAAATTTGTTCTGTCGCAATATCAACACTTCGCAAATGGGCAACGTCATTTGATTTGACTGAGGGATATTTCAAAAAATGTCATGGACATTATATGAAGTATAAAGGCAAGCCTGTCAGAAACAAAAAGAAATGACTGTTTTATGTTTCGATGAAATGCACATGGAGCAAATTGCAATTGAATCAAATAAGAAATGTCAGGTTTAATGCCAAAGTTAAATGTCATTATTGATAATTTCTTGAGAATATAGAAGTGACCTTTTATTGTAATCTTAGTAATCGGAAACGGAAATCTATTAAAAAGAAGAACAGACATAGACAACAAATAGAATTTATACGCAGTATCATTAAACGCAGTTTTTAAATCAATCAATATGTTAGATTCTTCAGGTGAGTATCTACTCATGAATATGATTGATAAGCTGTATGACATGTTGTACACATCAAACATGTTCGTATACTCGCAAACAATGAGTTTCCTCCATTCGCGAGGATAAAACCAAAAAATATCAAATATGTAGGTAAGTCCATCTTCGCTTTTAATAACGTTTATTTGTTCTTTAACAGTGATATCTGATATTTTTACTTATGTTATGTGCTGCATTTAACAGTTCACAGAATTCACTGGTTTATTCTCCATTTTTTGTTCTGAAATCTGATTTAATTATCGCAATAAACGCATTCAGATAAAACCATAGATACCTGGACTGCTGATGTCCAATCACCCTTCATTCATACGGTTTGGCATTTGATGCACATAATCTCAAAAATCAGTAGTGTTCACGATGGCAATAACAAAAGAGCATATTCGATTTTCCATCCACTTCGCGTTTTATCTGAAGAAAAATTCTGAAGCCACTGCAATGATTTGTGCTGCATATGGAGAGAACGCTGTAAGTCATACTACATGTAAAAGATGGTATCAAAAATTTCACCAAGGAGATTTCAGTCTTAAAAATGAACCGTGTGCTGGACGCCCTGAAAAGATTGAAACGGACGAATTGCAAGCACTGTTGTATTACGAGTTGTTACAACCGGGTGAAACAATCACAGCAGACCGCTACCAACAACAATTGACCAATTTGAGTGATGCATTAGAAGAAAAGAGGCCATTTA